CCAAAAAAAAAGCCCTTTTAGCCTGTCCAACTTTCCTCCCCACTTATTTGGGAATCAGCTTGGCAGTGCTGCACTTCCACCCACATGTTTTTCCATGGAAGCTGGAAGTGCTTAACTGTTTTATTTTTTTGCCCTTGGCTAGTTTTTGTGTCGTGCACCAACACAGCTGCTTCCAGGCCTTTCCAAATTCCTTGTTTTCCAGGCTTGGAGCAGTTTTTGGGCCCTACACACAGCCTTCCCAGGCAGAGTACTGGGATATGTGGACAGCAGTGAGGAACAACGATGGGAATCTTGTTATGGACAGGTATGGCACTGGTAATTGCTGCAGGAGCTTAGTTTCTTCAACATCCCTGTTTCCAGGCAAAGCTTGGTCAGGCTCCTTGGAGGCTCCAGCTGCTTCTTTTGGAATCTGGGATCATCATTGCACCCCAAAACAGCTAAGATATGAGATAGGAGCAGGGAATCTTGCTGGGAATGAAGCCTGGAGCTGGATCTGAGCCTGCACATGGCAGGAGGATGTAGAACATGGGGATTTTTCCTTCTTTGAAGTTCAGGGTTAGAAGTGGGGGGTTTAATGACTGGAGTTAAACCTGGTTTTCTCCAGTCTGGGGCTTTTGGAAGGATCTCAGGTTGGTGGTTTTGAGCTCAGTATCTCCATTCAGTGGGGCCTACATGTCCTTCTCTTCCCTTCTCCCACTGGGAACAACCTCCAGGTAAATCAAGGACCAAATATCTCAGCCTATCCCTAGGGCATTCCCTACCTGCCTCTCCTGAGGGACACTCACCCTAGGCCAGCAAGGGATACACTGCTCGTCGTCTCCTGCTCTCCTCCACCTCTGTGCTGATTTCTGTGGAGCACTGAGAGGTCCCTAAGCTCAGGGATGATGATGTTGTGTTCCTGCTGTCCCAAGGTGATCCATGGGAGATGCACATTCCACCCTGGTCTCAAGGCACTAGGAACAATTTCCAGGCCGTGCAGCACCTGGAGGCACCATAACAACAGGTTTCTCTTCAGTGTTTTGCAGTACATAAACCAGAGGAAGAGGCACAGAGAGCGCTGGGTTGGGGCTCTGATGTCAACCTCTGTCCCATGTGAGTAGGAATCCATTACCTTTACTGGTTGGGATTGTTGGGAATTATCCCCTCTCACCTGCACACACTGGAGCATGGAACTGGCTCCTTCCACTAACCCCTGGAGTCTCTTGTTATTCTGGTGAGGACACTGTAGCTCAGGAGCATCCCAACCCCTCCTGCTCCAGTTTAAGGCAGAGTTAAGGGAAGAGTTTGTTCCATGGAGCAGAGGTAACATTCCTTCAGAAGCTGGTTCACAGCCTCTGGATTCTCCAGCTGCTGCTCCAGGGAAGCAGAGGTACTTTTCAAGCCCAAAGGAAGTTGTAGCCAAGAAAAGGTTTGATCCCATGTTTGCCCAGGGCTCCACTGAAAGCTTCCCAAGATCCATGTGGGGAGGAACATACCTGCCCCAGGTCATCTTGGCTCAATTTAGGGATACCTCTGGATGTAAAGCTCTGCCTGTGCTTCTCTCTTGCAGTGCACCTCATCTATGGGCCCCTGGACCCTGTGAATCCACACCCAGAGTTCCTCCAGCTCTACAAGTAAGCCAACACCCACCCCAACCTGGGAATGAGCATTGGGGTTCCATTTCCAGGGATACTTTGTGTCTCAGACTTCTCCTTTAATTCCCAGCTGGAACCTGCCTAACCAGGTGATTCTGTTGGACTCCTGTGCAGTTTGCCAATTTCCCCCCCCCCCATTTTAGGCATCAAAAAATCAGTTTTCCATCAAACCTAAACCATTTTGAGGGAAGATTTACAGCCTGAAGTATCCCACTCCTCCTCCAAACTAACCTAAAGTACATCCAGCACCTGGATTGGAGTGCCACAGGCTTTTCTATCCCAGAGGGTTCTGCCCTCCTCCCTGGTGGCATCTCCTGTGCTTAAGCCTTGCTCCATTCTTCCAACAGGAAGGTGCTTCCCATGTCCACGGTGTCAGTGCTGGATGATCACATCAGCCACTATCCACAGCTGGAAGATCCAACAGGATTCCTGAATGCTTATCTGAACTTCATTAACTCCTTCTGAGCTGCTGCAGCTCAGTCCTCCCTCTCTGGTGCCAAGTCAGGCTTTGGGGGCAGGAAGGAACCTTAATTTTACCTCCCACATCCAACACTTGGCACTGGCATCCTCATGCTGAGCTGCCAAACTGCTGCAATTGTGCTGGGAGATCCTTGGAGCAGTGGAAAAATCTGGGAGACTAAGCAGAATTCCAGGATTCCAGTAAGTTTTCTGTCCCTGCACTCATCTTCTTGTCCAGCCTAGGTCAGTGTTTAGAGGCAGGAGGTTAAATCAGCATTAGAAGTGTTTGTTCCTTCCCTCCTCCCCCTGACTTGATAACTTCAGCACAGAGATCCACAACTTCCCTCAGAAGGAAGTCACCACAAATCCCTCCACATCCCCTTCTCTTCCCAGTGTTTGATATGGGATGTTTCCCATCTCTGAGCCCAGGGAAAGGCTCAGAGAATTGACTCTGCCTCAAGAGATGAAGTTTAACATCTCTCTCTCTCTGTCCATTGATTTTTCTGGGTGGGACAGAGGAGACAAATCATGAAGACACTGGAAATCTGCAGGTTTTGAACTGATTGTTGGAAATTTAACAGCATCCCTTCAGGAATAAGGGATTTTCCTTAACAAAAAGCCATTCTGGGCTATTTTTTTCTGTACTGAAACAAAGAGAATTAGAACAAGAAATGTCTATTTTATTACCAGCAATTCAACCAGTTGAACCAGTGTTTATTTTCTCTTAATAAAAATCAATTGGGAGAAAAATCTGATTCCATTTTCTCCCCACCTGCATTTTTCTTCCCCTCTCCCCTGCTCTACTGCAAGTGGCCAGAGATGCCATGAGTTAGATGGGAATGTGTGACAGCAGAGGAACATGGGAATGGCTCAGTCCCAACCAGCCACTACTGCAACATCATACAAAACAGTTCCCAGATTGAGGAATAAAAACTACATGCAGGAGGACAGAAAAGCTGCTCAATCCTTGGTGCTTGGAACAGGGATGATCCCACCACAGTCACTCTCAGCCCACAGAAGCTAAGATGACCTCCACAGATGTCTCATCCTTGCTCCTAACGGTCACCTGCATGGTCACACCATCTCCTAGGGCGAGTCTGGACCTCACCAGCACATCACAGCCACCTCTGTACACACCTGGGGACAGAGCAACAGGGAGAGGTTAGGAGAGGCAGGTTCAGTCTTCACTCAGGTCCTGCCCTTAGGCCACAACAACAACTTGGAATGCTCCAGGCAAAGGGAAAGCTGGGAAAGGAAAAGAAGGTGCTGTGACACTGGCAGGACATCAGCCCAGGTGTGCCCAGCTGGGCAAGAGGCCAATGGCCCCTGGCTTGGATCAGCCCCAGGGCATGGACTGTCCCTGTGCTGGCACTGCTGAGCCACCTCCAGTCCTGGGGCAGCTCTGCTCTGGGCCCACAAGAGAGAGATTGAAAGGCTGGAGGTGTCCGGGGCAGGGCACGGAGCTGGGAAGGGGCTGGAGCAGCAGGAGAGGCTGAGGGAGCTGTGGGGGCTCAGCCTGGAGAAAAGGAGGCTCAGGGGAACCTTCTGCTCTCTGCAGCTCCTGCCAGGAGGTGCAGCCAGGTGGGGTCAGGCTCTGCTCCCAGGGAACAAGGGGCAGAGTGAGAGATTGAAAGGCTGGAGGTGTCCGGGGCAGGGCACGGAGCTGGGAAGGGGCTGGAGCAGCAGGAGAGGCTGAGGGAGCTGTGGGGGCTCAGCCTGGAGAAAAGGAGGCTCAGGGGAACCTTCTGCTCTCTGCAGCTCCTGCCAGGAGGTGCAGCCAGGTGGGGTCAGGCTCTGCTCCCAGGGAACAAGGGGCAGAGTGAGAGGAAACACTTCAAGCTGCACCAGAGGAGATGCAGGTTCGATATTGGGGCAATCCCTCCTGGAAAGGTTTGTCCAGCCCTGGCACAGCTGCCCAGGGCAGGGATGGAGTCGCATCCTCGGAGGGATCTAACAGCCACGTGGATGTGGCACTTGGGGACATGGTCAGTGGTGGCCTTGGCAGTGCTGGGAATGGTTGGACTATCATATAGGTCTTTTTCAACCCAAACAATTCCATGATTCTCTAAGGAGTTGTGGGGGCAGGAGGCCCATTTAGGATGTGCCTTTAGTGACAGGACCTCAAGAACAAGATGGTCTACAATCACCCTGTTGAGAAAACCTCAGGCAAGGAGTTTAGTTAGGTGTCTGCTCTGGAAGTTTTTCATTCAGAGGATTCACCACCATTCCCATAAGGAGAATTCCTCCATTCCCAGAGACACAGAGCTCAGCCTGAGCACACCCACCCAGGGTTTGAGACAGCACCAGCTGCATTCAACTTGCTGCTTCACCTCAGCTTTCTGTGCAGAAAATGACTCTTTCTACAGAGGAGAAACTGCCAAAATAAGAGCAGAAGCTCCTGAATTTCCTTTAGCTTATCCAGGATCTGGACATGGAGTTTAACAACATGAACACTTACCAGCCAAGTAGAGTGTGTGAGAATTCTTGTTCTCTGGCACTTTATCTGACCTCTCACAGGGCTGCATCCCCAGGAACTTGATGATGTTATTGACAGCCTCTGCATCCAGAGATGGAAGAAAATGACCTCCAGGTAATTCTTTACCTCCCTAAATACATCCCCAGCATGGAAAATTTGCCAGCTGGGTCACCAGTAAAGGAGATGTTCTTACCATCAAGGGTTTTAATGGAACTAAGGGCAAAGGTTTCTTCTTTCTCAAAGTCATCTCCCACTTCTTCCCAGGCAGCTGCAAAGTTGGGTTTCAACACCTTCTGGATGTGATCTGACACCGTCACTTCCAAGTCTTCCAGCTGAAGAAAGGGATGAAACAAAGGGAGATTTCAGGTCAGTTAGAGAAGTGATCATCATCCTAGAAAGGGAAAAAGAGCCAGGAGCATTTTGCCAGGACACCTCCCACCAGCCCAGGCTGCTCCAAGCCCCATCCAACCTGGCCTGAACACTCCCAGGGATGAACCAGCCACAGCTGCTCTGGGCACCCTGTGCCAGTGCCTCAGCCCCTCCCAGACAGGAATTCCTTCCCAATATCCCATCTGGCCCTGCCCTCTGGCAGTGGGAAGCCATTCCCTGTGTCCTGTCCCTCCAGGCCCTTATCCCAAGTCCCTTTCAGCTCCCTTGGAGCTCCTTTAGGAGCTCTAAGCTCTCCCTGGATCTTCTCCAGGTGAACACCCCCAGCTCTCCCAGCCTCCTTTACTTCCTCCAGTACTTCCTGAGATCTGAATCCTATTTCCAAGATTGAGAACACAACAAACAGGTGGAAAGATAGGGTCAAAGTTCTGGAAACACTACTGGAACTTATTCCTCCCTTCCTGGCTCTGTGTTCCCACAAACCCAATCTCCACAGGGCACTAAAACGTTTGGTAGAAGCAAAGTTTTTGGGTTCTAAAATGACAGAGTATTTTGGTGTTTGAGGTTGACTGTTACTCTTTGATTGACTTCAGACCTGAAAGGAAACTCTTATCCCAATGACTATGTGTATTCCCAATGAGTGCGAAGGGGAAAAGGAACCAAGTCCTAACTTACCACATATTCATCATCATATCCATCTTCCTCTGGCACACCTGTGTTCGGGTCACAGTCCCGAACTGTGAACTTCATTGTGCAGCTGAAGGTACAAGCAACTGGGCAGGAGAGAGAAATCCCAGCTAGGTTAGTGGTTTCCTCTGCTTGAGCCCTCACTTCCCAAAGACACATCATCTTTTCCCCAGAAGTACAGACATGGATGTGGGCAGAGCACTTGGCAACCTCATGTGTCATTTCCCCCTGACTTTGGATGAAGGCACAGGAGGATCTCAGGAGAGGAGAGTGTCAGGGCCATGGTGTGACCAGCACATGCCACTGACTCACAGAGCTGCAATGAGATCCAGCCAGTAGCTACCAGGAGAAATTCCACAAGGCTTCCTGACAAACCCACAGGGAATTCAGATTAGTTCTAATCTTCCCTGATATTCAAGCAATCAGCAAGAAATCCACTGTGCTGATGAGCAGAGTCACCTTAAACCAACTGCAAATCCAACAGCACTTAAACTTCCTTTTTCTTATTTACACTTAATTCCCAAGACAATACCCCATTCCCACATTTCATCTCTAAAGAGAGGAAAAATTCCATTGGTTAATTACACAAAGACCCAAACTACCACTATTTTTGTTCTCTTTGCAGTTTCCTTTCACTGATTCTGCCCTTGAACCCTACCATGAGCCATCCAGGCTTACAAATGTGCTCCTGGCATTGATTCCAGAGAGTAAATTCAAGCTTCCACTCCTTCCATGCTCTCCAATTCTCCTTAACATCCCATTTTTAATCATCCAATCCCACAGGTGATGTAAAAACTGTATATACTACTTGGAATAAAACCAGGTTCTACACAAAAAACACCACAAGGGACACACAACAAACAAACAGTTGTGAGAATCTGCACTTGGCAAATCCAACACCCTACTGGTGCTCTCCAAACCCTTCCATAGGGATTTGTGGCATGCAACTCCTCCCTGCCAAGGGATACCTGCAGTAGGATCATCCTGGGGGATCCTGACCAGGGTGTAGCACATTCCAGGCTGGTTGTAGGCCAGGCTGGGAGCTGGGATGCAGCAGAGGACATCATAAGCATCCGATGGCTCCATCTGCACAGTGACTCTCTCCAAGAGCTGATCATTTAACGTGTTGGTGCAATCAAACTGCACAAGAGCACAGGGGAAAAAAAAAGGACTTGGAATATTTCTCAGCAAGAATTTCCCCACACATCAGCTACAATACTCTGCATACCCCACATGTCTGAGTAGTCCTGCTGTTCTCTGGCAGGAGGGTGTGACTTCCTCACCTGGAAAACGAGGTGATTTGGGAACATGTGTTTGATACAGCGAACAAAATACTCTGTTTCTGCTTCTGTGAGCTGCACTGGCTCTGAGGACTTGAACAATGGGCCCAAGTTCTTAAACTCTGGGATGGCTGAGAGTTGTTCTGTGCAGAGAGGAAAAAGTGATAGCGACAGAAATAGCCATTGTTTCCACCTGGCCTGTGCCAAACATCCCAGCACTTCATAGAATCCCAGGATGGTTTAGGTTGGAAGGACCTTAAAGATCATGTCATTCCAACCCCATGGGCAGGGACACCTCCCACCAGCCCAGGGGGCTCCAAGCCCCATCCAACCTGGCCTGGAACACTCCCAGGGATGGAGCAGCCACAGCTGCTCTGGGCAACCTGTGCCAGTGCCTCAGCACCTCCCAGCCAGGAATTCCTTCCCAATATCCCATCTGTCCCTGCCCTCTGGCAGTGGGAAGCCATTCCCTGTGTCCTGTCCCTCCATCCCTTGTCCCAAGTCCCTCTGCAGCTCTCCTGGAGCCCCTTGAGGCACTGGAAGAAGCTCTAAGCTCTCCCTGGAGCTTTTCTTCTCCAGGTGAACACCCCCAGCTCTCCCACTGATCTTCTCTCCTACCTTGAAATATATCCTGACGTGAAGGAGCAACTTTCTCAGGTTTGTTGGGCACCAGGGCAATCTCTGCGAAGGGAAAAAAAAAAGTCAAGACACTGTGCTCTCAAGCACACTGTGCAGGAGTCAGAAATTGTGTCATATCCCACTAAAAATTCCTTAACCTGTGCTGTTTCACACCCTCTGCTGTGAACCACTGCCAACCTTGTTCCTCACACACACTGAAAAATCTCTTTTGTGAGGAAATACTGGGTGGTAAAGAAAGAAGGATGTTTGAGTAATGGTGAATAATTCACACTTCAGTTCAGAACAGGCAACAAAAAAAAATCTGAATGAAGGAAAAGGGGAAAAAGAGAAACCCAAAACTTTTCTTTAGACATTGTGCAAAGTCAAAACACTCCAGAATTGTGCAAGGACCTGGCAGGAATCCAATGAAGTGAGCATGCACTTCTGGAATGGACTTGTCAAAGGTCTGTGAACTAATAACTCCTGTCTGTGTCCAAAGATAAGCAGAACAGCAGCAATGCAGCTGGTTCCAGCCTTGCCCACAGCCTGGTGACAGGTAGCCTGAGTGTTACCTGCTTTCTGCTCAAAGATTGGAGCTGTAGCCAGTGGAACTGTTTTCATATCAAAAGGTTTGTCAGAAGGCTCCAGTGTGTATTGGTGCAGAGCTTTCTCCATCCCAGGAACAGACACTGTCAACCCTGCACGGCAGAAAGGCAGGAAAACTGGGGGTGAAGAGCAGGAAGATTCTGAGGGCCACAGGCACTGACACATGTATGAGACACATCTCAGGAATCAAACACACCAAGTACTCAAGATAATGGACATGACTAAATATCTACTCTGATGAGGACACAGTATTGCCAAGTCTGAACAGTTCACTTAAGCAAAGTCATCTTGAAAGAGTCTTCCATGTGCTGAACATTCAACTCGTATGAACTTTCAGTTACAGACAATAAATCCATTTCATGACCAAGTCTGGCAACAAGATCCTCCCTTGGCAATGCAAGAGATGGAGCAAAGGTGAAGGAACTTGTCCCAAGTGAAGAAAAAGGCAGTAAGAAAAGCTCAACTCTACTGCTGTTCCAATTCCTAGACAATATTTCCCATAGAGCGAGTGATGAGGCATTGGAATGTGCTGCCCAGGGAGGTGGTGGATTCACCAGCCCTGAAGGTTTTCAAGGTGAGACTGGATGTGGCACTTAGTGCCATGGTCTAGTAACCATGGTAGGTTGGACCTGATGATCTTAGAGGTGTTTTCCAACCTGGTTGATTCTATGATTCTATATTCCCTGTGAGGGTGTTGAGGCACTGGGATATTGCCCAGGAAGCTGGTGGAGTCACCATCCCTGGAGGTGTTTGAGAGGTGTCTGGATGTGGCACTGGAGGATCTGGTTTAGGGGTCACAGCAATGACAGGCTAATGGTTAGACTTGACGCTCTTAGAGCTCTCCTCCAACCCTGGTGATTCCATGACTCTCTATTTTGCTCAACCTGCCATTTTCAGCACAAGGACTTGGCAAGAAAAACCACATGTGAGGTAACAGCTGAGCTTCCTTCCCCCTGTCACTGACCATTGAAGATGTAGGCAGCATTCAGGGCCAGTTGTCTCTGCTGCAGCACATTCAAGTAGAAGGTTGCTCTGTCTCGGACTTCATCATCACTGTCCATCATGCACCTGTGTGGGGAGGAAGGGGGGACACAGTGAGCTCAGGACATCATCAGCTACACATGGCACAGATAAGATCAGATTTAATACTGGATTGACAGTCTGAGCTCCCTCGAGAGGTTTGCAAATGATACAAAATGTGTTTATACAACTTGAAGTATAAATGCAAGTGAAACATCAGAAAATTGAGATGAAATAATGAACACATGTCTGAGGGGACATGGAGCTGCAAAATGGGGACAGCTGAGGTCACTGCACTCACCTCTGCAACAGCACCAGGATGCTTGGGAGCAGATTCTCATTCTGGGCACCAAACTTTGCCAGGGCACTCACAGCAGCTGGAGAAGAGAACAGGGAGGTGTCAGAGGAGCTCAGGCTATGCACAAACACATTCTCACAGTCATAATTCCAAGCAATGTTGTCCTGAAGTGCCAATTCACACCATAAAGCTGTTAGTGCTATGGAAAGACTAAACTACTGCTGTATTTTCAAGTGGAAATAGTTTTGTGTCACGGAGTAACAGGACAAGAACAACTTAACAGCCTTGAAACTGTGTTGAGACAGAGCTCTCTGTCAGATAAGGTTAGTTCAAGCTCTGTAGGACATTCAGTTTTTGGCTGTCACCCCCCAGATAACTCTTTTTCACACAGTGGTGACAAACACCCAGTGGGGACCAGGCCCAGGCTGCATCCAGTGACTCTGCAGGGAGCTGAAACTCCTCAGCAACCACTTGGAGTTGCCTCTCCCAACTTCAAGCATTAGCTTGAAGAAAATCCACACCCAAAAAGGAGAGAATGTTGTCCATGGAAGTAAAAACTTTATGACAACAGCAACAGATAGGGAAGTAACAATGTCCTCTCCTCCTGTCACCTCTCACCTTGCATTTAGAGGAGGGCAGAGAAGGTAACACATTGCATGTGTCTCATGAAGCAGGAGGAACAGATGGTGCCAAGGTGCCATGAGGAGTTGGAACATGCCACAGGATAAAAACCACCTCCAGAGCTGATACATCTGATGCACACAGAGTGCCTGAGGAATAACCATCACCCCCACCCCAATCCCAGTTTGGGATTGCTCAGGCCTGAACCCAGAGCTGAACTCACCAGCCCTCACAGCCTCATTCTCCAGCACCACTCTGTTGAAGATGAAGCGAATGTACTTGGATGGGGATGGAGTCCTGGGCCCCTCCTTCCCCAGCAGGTGCAGGATCTTGGTGGCCAGCACAGTGTGTTCACAGTCCTCAATGAACTCACAGAGGTGAGCCAGGCCTGACTCTTTGCTCTCAGGGTTCTCCTCGATGATGCTGATGATACAGTCCACAATGGCTCGTTTGTACTCAAAGCCACCCTGGGAAAGGAGAATCAAGAGCAGTGGGTTGGCAGACAGGGCTCAGTCTGCAATGCTGCTCAGCTCCCCTCACGTTTTAGTGGCTTCTTTCATGGAGAAAAACAAGGAATTGTACAAAGTGAGAAAAGAGGTGTGCTGGGTCAACTAACAGGCTCTTCCCAGTCCTCCTGAGCCACAACACAAGAGCTATACAGAGAGGCTGAGGGAGCTGTGGGGGCTCAGCCTGGAGAAGAGGAGGCTCAAGGTGACCTTATCATTCTCTACAACTCCTTGACAGGAGGTGGAGTCAGGCTCTGATCCCAGGGAACTAGAGACAGGACAAGAGGACACAGTCTCAAGCTGCACCAGGGGAGGTTTAGGTTAGATATCAGGAGGAATTTCTCCATGGAAAGGGTGATCAGACACTGAAATGTGCTGCCCAGGGAGGTGGTGCAGTCACCATCCCTGAAGGGGTTCAAGGAGAGACTGGACATGGCACACAGTGCCATGGTCTGGTTTCCATGGTGGTGTTAGTTCATGGGTTGGACTTGCTGATCTCAGAGGTCTTTTCCAACCTGATCGATTCGGTGTGATCATCTGATCATCCTTTTGATGCAGCAGGTCTAATCCCTAAGCCCATTTCAGACAGGTCTGACCCACAAGCACCCCGAGCAAGTGTCACACTTACATCATCCCTGAGCATGTTGGAGAGGAAGGTCATCATGACACTGTGCTTCCGAGGGTACTTCTGGCACAGGGCACTGATGGCCTGCACGACCACAACCTGCAAGGCAAGAGAAGGACTTGAGTCATGGGTGTTTATTTTGCTAGGAAAAACACAGGCTTCTATATCAAGTTGTCACCTTGACTAATTAAATTCATGTCCAAGGATAAAAATCAGGTAGTGGATTCTCAGTGAGTGTGTAACAGCCTTGTGCTAACATGCTGCAAGCTCTGCCAGAGAGGTAGAATTTTGGATGGACTATGTTAACTCAGAGGTTTCCCCTCCCTCCTCCTGCCCTGTGATCATCTTGACTAATTCTAACCTAACAAGTCACTTTCTGTCATTAAAACTCTTTGCAATTTCAAACTTCATAGATTCACAGACTGTTAAGGGGTTGGAATGGAGCTTAGAGACCCTCCAGCCCCAACCCCCTGCCCTGGGCAGGGACACCTCCCACCAGAGCAGGTTGCTCAAGGCTTTAGCCAACCTGACTTAGAATACTTTGAACTTGTCTAATACTTATTTAATTTGCTCTTAAAAACAAGAACTTTAGCCTGTTGTAAGTAGACAGGGACTCTGCAGAGTCCTGCTGTGCTCCTCAAGGCAACTCCACCATGTCAAAGGGACAGGTAGATGTGAACCATCCTGAACTCATTTATTACCTGAGTTTAGCCACTATAAACTTTAAAAATGCGGTGGAAATTTAAAGTTCAAACTGTTTCCTAACTATGTGTCAGACTGAAATGATACAGACTCAATCAGAACAGTTAAAATCCCTTTTTCTCCCAGGAGGACAGGACAGGCAGGACAAGGTTTTGCAGGATACAGCACAGGAGCCAGGATCTATCAAAGGACATTTATCCTTTCTTGGAGTGGTAGGAGGAAAAGCCACAGTCCATTTCAGTTGGAAAGCAGAGGATCAGACCTTCTGAATTCAGAAAGTCCATCAGCCTAACTCACTAAAGCATGAACAAATGGGCAAAGCTTGAGAAGAAACAAGAATGGGAGAAAAACCTGCAGCTGGCAAGAGCAGAGGCCTCCAATGCCACACCTTAAACTCATCTGAGATTTCTGACACGAAGGAGGAGATCTGTTTCATGAGCCTGTCCACGCTGCTCTCACTGCCTGTCTTCAGCAGAGTGGTGATGGCCAAGGTGGCGATGCTGCGATTGGAGTCCGTGATGAGGTTCTCCAGGTCCAGGTTGCAGGCAGTGACTGCAGATGGATGTTTCATGGCCACCTGTAGGGAAGGCAATTCCGAGTCATATGGGAGTAATGACATCCCACAGTCCAAAGCTGTTGATAAGACAAGGATTAAAGTAATTTTTTATCATCTTTCCAAGCACTGCTCTGTTCCACAAGGATTGTAGCTAAACCTACATCATATCACTGTTGGGTGCAACCACAGCGCAGGGTCTTTTGTTTCAGTGGTTAAAATGAATACAGTGGAGTGACAGGTTAATGGTTGGACTTGATGGCCTTGGAGGTCTCCTCCAACCTTGAGGATTCTGTGGTTTAGGAGTTACAGTAGTGGTAGGTTAAGGGCTGGACTTGGTCTTAGAGGTCTCCTCCAACCTTGAAGATTCTATGGTTTAGGGGTTCCAGCAGTGACAGGTTAATGGTTGGACTTGACGGTCTTAGAGGTCTCCTCCAGCCTTGAGGATTCTGTGCTTCTAACTTAAGTTACAGCTCATGGGTTTGACAGCCACCAACTGCAGCTCTGAAATCCCAATGTTATTTCCTTCACAGACATTTTGCAGTATCAAGTATCTTTACAGCTGAAAACTCACAAGTTATCAAACTACAGCTCGTTATAGCCCTGTGGGCCAAAAATGAGCAAACACAATTTGAATACAGAAAAGATTTCTGTCCCACTGATCTCTGTCTGGCATGGAAAAGCCAATTCTCCAGCATGGAGTGGTTCCAAATAGAGGCATCACAAGGGCAGCAGATCTGCTTGAGGTAGCACAGCATTAGGCACAGCTGGTTTGCTCTGATGTTCAGACTGAAGCTCGTTTGGGGGTTTTGGAAGCACTCACTTTGTTGAGGGTCCTTACAGCTGCATATCTCAGCACAGGCTTGGGAGAACTACAGAAAAGCTGCAACACTGGAAAAAAAAAAGACACAAGTCTCTTTCAAAGAAAGGAAACAGAGAGGAGAGTCTAATGTATCACCACTTGGCTATGCACTGCTAAATATTCATGCAGCTCTATCCATAACTGATCCTGAGCTTCACAAGGAAGTTAAAAATAACCTCCTGGGGTTTATCTCCATCAATATTGCACAGTCTCCTGTGGTGCATCTGTGCCCTCCTTCCAGGTAGAGCAGAGGCTGTGGCTGTCTCATCCCTGGGAGTGTTCCAGGCCAGGTCAGATAGAGCTTGGAACAACCTGGGCTAGTGGAAGGTGTCCCTGCCCACGGCAGAGGGTTGGAACTGGATGGGCTTTAAGGACTCTTCCAAACCAAACCACTATCACTCCCTCCCTCCTCCCTT